TTTTTTTTTTTTTTTTCAAGTATTCAAATGCACTCGATGTTCGCCCCATTCAACGAAATGCCACCAATTCACCAAATATCACACTGATCAATCAACGGGTTGACAAGAAAGGGTTTTAAGCTCAAAATGGCTACTAGTGGAAAATTTTCGGTAAGGGTCAATGAACAAGGCAAAACGAGCTATAACAACAAAGTGCCTCCGTCATATTTGCAACTCAAAATTCAATCAATATCTTTCAAATAGACTCAAGGCAAGTTCTAGTTATACGAGAATATAACCAACTCACAAGCAAAGAAAACAAGGCTCAAACCTCACAAGGTAGCAATTTGTCATTCAAAGCTTAACCAAATATAGAAAAGATGGTCCACACGATCGTCATCACAACTTCTCAATCTTGCTAAACATCAATCAAACAATTCAAATGTCATGCTTGAAAACAAAAACAACCTAGATACTAGACCGGTCCACCATATAAGCATGCACAATCAAGACTTAGCAATTTCACATCATGAACCAATTTAGCATCCAACAAAATGACACAAAATCTAAAACAAATACACTCAACAAAAATAAAGGAGAAAGGTGTGCAAACAGAAGCAACGTCGAGGAATTAGGCGTTCATGCGCAAGCCGCTCATCTACTCTCATCCCAATGCTCGATACATCCTGTCCGAAAGAAAAACACAAATCTCCAACTCCAATTATTAAAAGCATAAAAACAACAAGAAAAATAGAAACTAACTAAGAAAGCGATAAACACTTGGGTTGCCTCCCAAGAAGCGCTTATTTAACGTCATTAGCTTGACGAAACCTGGACCGAAATCAACCAGGGTCCAAGAAGAAGTGTCGATCGTGCCACGCCTTTGTATTCTCTAGTAATAGTCCCGATGGAAGCTCGGAACAAAGGCGGGCAAAGTATACTCTCGTGGCCACGTTCTTGTGATACCGAGCACAAATATCAACAATCATCATGAAAAGAATTAATTCTTTGCGCTCCCAAGCCACATAATCAACCTCCGGGTATATGAAAATATCCGTGGAGCATGTCGAATCAATCCCGGTCATCACCATCACCATCTCGGACGTGTACTCAACATCATGAGTCGAGTCATCTAACAATGCACAATTCGGGTCAATGACCTCATATAATGACTCGACGTT